TATTTTTCTCACCAGAGACATCGACGAGCGCTCTGCTGACAAACTATTAGGACAAAGTACCATAAACCTTATAAAGATACATTCAAATTAGAGCTGCAACTGTCTGTCTACTTTTTTCTGCACAGTGTGAAAAAGCATTTTTGCATGAAAACAAAGTAAATCAATCTGCTATACAGAGACCACGTTAGTAATTAATTAGAGAGTAAATCAGATATAATGGAAACTAAAGGTACTTTCAACTTCGTGGAATAAAGTAAACATAAATTTGCGTGATTATAAGATCGAAAAAATCGAAAAATCATATTTTTCTTAATAGCTTTTCCAGAAACCCTTTCGGAAAGCATTAGAGTTCTATAACCTAAATGCTTTACATACCGAAGTTTTGAACTCGTTCTGATGTATTTTGAGTGAATAGTGATTTTTTTAATATTAGGTGAAAACAGTCTGAAAACCCTAGTTTTCGTAAAACTCCCTTTTTCGATAGACTTTTAAACTTTCTCTAAAAGCAAATATTGCCACAAGACTCAGCATGATCGATTATCTATAGTCCATTGGCTGGAGAATCCGAAAATCACAGAGCCCCATCACTGAAAGTGGTCGGGAGCTCAGGGAGCGCACTGCGGTTCATTGGTTTGTCTTCATGAAGAAAAAAACGCGTCGCAAAATGGCCGATCTTGATCTTTTCACCAATTTTAAAATTGATCGTTTACACGAACGAAATGTGAGACAGACCTCGGACTTTCGCCATTCGACTTAGAATAGACCAAAGTATATTTGGTAAAGTTTGCAGCTCGATAGCTCTTAATTTGGTGAAGCTGCAAGCTACCAGTTTTACGCCACCATATCTAGTTTTTTCGCCAGGGAAACTATTTTTACATGAATTTTTAACTTTGTTCTCAATAAATGTTTATTTCTTAGAGAAAACGGCATTTGTGACACACGATGGCTTATTTCAATTCACCGTGATGCCGTTTGGTTTAACTAATGCACCGGCTACATTTCAACGCCTTATGGACGTTATTTTGTCCGGCTTGAAATGGCGCTGTTGCTTAGTATATCTAGATGATGTCATCATTCTTCGTATTTTGGCTACGCAAATTTTGTGTTGTGTGTTGGGTAAAAGATGCAGGTAGATGATAAGTGGCTTTACTGCGGAGTATTTTAAAAAACAAAAGAAGACGATATATATCGAACAAAGAGTATTTGGGAAAAGGTAAAGTCGTCTCTACCTTTTTAACGGTTAGCAGTATCCTTCCTAGCTCCTGGCAAGCTTTGTCATGGAAAGAGCCTCTCATGGCATCTGAGCCAGTACTGTATTATACCGTATTGTACTGTATTGTTATTAATGGCTTCAGTTCGTTTTGAGTACTTCCACAATAAATAATACTAACATGGTTTGTTTTCCTCAAGATAAATGAATTGTACACTGCCGTTAAAGCTTGTCGTAATAAGATACAACTTAAATATTTATAGATCATATACGGTAAGTCATTTATGTAGATCAAAACAATAATGGTCCTAAACAGGATCCCTGTGAGAGACCGCAAGAAATAGGCGGCTCGGCAGAGGTTTTGCCGTCTAGTAGCTAACAATCCTTTGACTACTCAGATAACTTCATGAGAGTATTTGGGCGGATAAGCCAGCACTTTTCAGTTTTCTCAGTCATCGTTCGTGTGATACACGATCGAAAGCTTTGCTGAAGTCTAGAAAAACTGATAAGGCAGATGTTTTGCTGTTAAAAGCATTAGTAATTTTATCTACTGTATGGATCGGTAATAGTTTTTTGCAAACGGAAAACGCCAGTTTACTCAGAAATATCTATATTTTTTTTTATGATTGGCTTCAGCAACTTCTGTGAGATACGTTTGAACAGTGTTCTATATAACGTAGTTGCCACTTATGTGAAATGGCTCTTATATATTCCGCTACAATATAACTAAATTGATCTGACAAAGACGTTTTACAGGTTGGAAAAATAAGATAACAGGCGTAAATGCGCACTGAATGAATAATACTAGAGTAATTTTACCATATTTGCATGCATCTTGGCCACATCTACTATAGTTCTTTGGTTTGAAATCTTGATTTTTTTCAGTTTTCGTATGCAATAAAAGATATTTATTATACACTATGGCTATGGCCATATAGAGGTCGTCACCCCCTGCAATTAACGCTATTTCAAAAAGCGATAGCTATTAACAAATAGAAAGAATGACTCATTTTCTGCATAAGTGACACTAATCTTATCTTGATTTTTGCACTGTTATGTGTTTCTTATATTTTTCTTGATTGAATATTTACTTATAGACAGTAGCTATCGTTTATCAACAGCGATTTAACTAATTGTCTGTAATTGCTTTATTATAATAAAAATGGACGTTGCTCCAGACAATGGTCGTAGTGACTCTGGTGAATAACTTTCATTAAATACAAATATCGTGAACAGCACTGCTGAACTGTGGTGATTAGAATGTTTGATAGACACTAAAATATATTGCTTTCCCGTATAAATCAGTTGTTACCTATATAAAATATATAAATTTGAAAAGTTGAAAAATTTATGTCACACTTTTTCTCACATATTTTCTGTTAACCTTTTCATAAATCCAGTCCAATGATCAGTTACTAATATCATACCATTATATAGCTTATAGTGTCCTCTAGCAAACATTCAAGTATGGTGATAAAATAATAGAAAATAGTTTCAGCAGAAGTGATCAAACAGGTTGGATTACTTTCATTAAAATGTCTCGTGCATAGCTGTGACCTAGAGCTTCTGACAGCACAAGAATTTCATTAACATTTTAATGAAAGGGCTTTTAATGAAACTCCGATATCCCGAGCAAATAAATCTTCCCTCAGTCTGAATTTGAGACCAAAGGACTATAATTAGAAGAGAGCATGATGCAAAACGGAAAGAAAAAAGGAACAATGAAAACCTTTAAAAAATAGTTTAGCTCTTGGTATATGAGACGCTTTTTAAAATGTGCGGACAAGTAAACATGTAGTGTAAACTCAGAGCTACTTAACGGTAACTAGAGAATACTTTTAGCTGGCTCCGGAGCGAAGGTAATAACTTTGCAAAAAAAGCTTTGTCGTAGCTGTATATCTCGAAAATAAACATTTTTTTCCGAAAATGAGAAGAGGTTTTTGAGATAACATCTTATGAAACTCGTGGTGGAAAAGATGGCTTATGTTTATTGCCAAACTTCACTCCTTCTCTAGACAAAATGATGCTGAGTTTCATACTTCAAAAATTCACTGGAAGAGGTGTTGATCTGGATAATGTTTTCGTTACTTGTCTATGTATCACATCCATATGGACAGGTCGAAGTCGATGACATGAATATGTATGTTATAGATATTTCGATATTCTTTTATGTACGATTTGATTGTGTTTTGTATGTCTGAATCGAACAATAGTTGATCGTTGTTGTCGATGTTTAAGTGGATGGTGATAATAGATTTCAGATTCCTGATAATATTTTTGACTAGATGTGTGAAATCGTCTTTTACATAACATATTACGCGATGACAATCAAGGAAATCGACAAGCTATGGCGAAGATGAATTCATGAGAATTAAGATATGTCATCGTATCATCATCTTCTTCCATGCCGCCATTTTCATTTGATAATGACAAATATTCAAATATTCAATATTATCCATTTCGTCGGTGGTTAACGTTTAGGCATGAGCGGTAATGGTAATTTATATGTCATTCGATAGAGACTTTCAGAAGCTTCTATAAATAAGTCTTTCAGAGATATGCCCACATTGGTCAATAGTTAAAATACTTGGCCGGTATAATGATTTTCATCTATCTTAGTGCTTTGAACACTCAGTTAGTCGTTTTTCTGCAATAATGAAAAGTTATGTATTGTACGAAAACATACCATTGGATAGCCCTTGAAATTCTCTACAAAGTGAGCTAGTCACAATATCCAGACAGGTGAGGCCAGTCGTTAAAGACATGCAAAAGAAGCTTTTGGGTGTTATTTAAGCACTATGGTGTGTCATAATCACAAGAATTCCCTTGTTTTGGACTATTTAGTAAAAACTGAAACCAATCTGAATAATGTTTGAATAGCCTGAAGAGTTTTCTATCAGATGAGGTCCATATCGGCCTTTCATGAGAACAGTGGACAATAGAGTTTCTAAAAAACCTGACCGCTGGAAAACCAAGTCCTAAGGTTTTGGTCAGAAAATGTTGCAAACCATATAGCCTGATAGAGCGAAGAATTCTGAGCAAAATATGAGATCTCCCGGCATGAATCACGTAGCACACTATAAAAACAAAAAAAACTTAACTCTTTCGACAATGACAAAAAGCGAGTTTGAGTAGATAAGAAGAAATCAGCGATCTACCTTTCTTATCTACTCAAACTCGCTCCTAGGAGGATATCATCTAAATAAAAGTACACGGACAGATTGCAGATGTAAACAAGTGTTTCATCAGTTCCACAAGGCTCTTTCTTGCAGTCTAATGGATTCTTCTACTTTAGCACACATTTCAATAAGAATTACTTCAGATTAGCCTAATCAATGGCAAATCCATTGATGAAAGGAGCTGATCACGCACGAGCTCAATGGTACTGGAAATCGAATTCGAATCCGTGGTCGAACAACGAAAAGGAGGAATGGACAAGATATTCCGATATTCAATCTGACATTATTGAACATGCATTTGATCAAACGACGAACACAAATTTAGTTGAACTAGATAATTATTGGATTGACTTGAAGCGCTCAGTTCAAATCAGTAAGCATGATCAAAATAAACAAAGACAAATCAAACGAATGCTAATTACTACAACTGACAATGAATGTTTACGAGAAGAGAGATTTTTTTTTCCCGAACCATTGAAGAAACCATTCAATGAGGATCGTTTGGACGGTGGTTATCATGGCTTTATAGTTAAATTAGATAATTTCCAAGTATAAAGAGAAAAATTTTTCATCAATCTGTGCAGTAAATATGAGTAATATTTGCAGAAGATTATTTGAAATAGATTCCAGAGAACACCATCTTTCCGTGCTATAATCTCGTGACTTTTTTATTTCATCTTATTTTTTCTTATCTCCATCAAACGGTTAGAAACAAGAATTACAAATGATTTTATGATGATCAGGACAGCAAGGAAAATGACAGGTAGAACATCGCGCAGCAACTTTTCTATCGCGCACTCTCGAGCAAAAATGACAACGTTGCTTTCCACTCACTCCAGTTCGAGTGGTTATTGGACTAGTAATTGAAAGTCCTAGGCTCTGCATAGCCAGTCGAACCTTTCACTGAACTACATACGGATTCTGACAATGTTGATTCAAATGTGGATCAACAAGGCTGCGGCCAAGTTGTTGAAGGAACAAGCGTCGACGGTATGGCTTGATGTCGTTCCGTTGAGTATTTTTAGTCATCCATAGAACATAAGCTGCAATACCAGCATCAATCATATTGACAAAGAAACTCATCGGTCACCAATTGAGTTTTCGTTTACAAGAATAAGTTTGAACCATTTGATCCATACGATCAACACCACCTTTTGTCTCGTAATATAAAATTATTTCCGACTTCTTGTGTGTTTCTTCACTGACTGTTGTTTCGTGGTGCATTGATGAAAGAAGAATCATCGCTTTATTCTTCTTCGGCACATAGCTCACTAGTGTGAGCAGCCCATCAAAGCAGAATATCGATGAGTTTTCCGGACGGTGACGATTGGGTTGCAGTTCTCGAGGAATTTCGGGTTTGTTTTTCCGAATTGTCCCGACTAAAGTAGTTTGAACTCCAAGTAAATCTTCGGCATGTTCAGCGCTTGTAAAGTAATTATCCGCAGTGACGCTTCGACCTTTGTTGATCCAGGGTGTGACTAATCTTTTGACTAGCCCTTTGACGCCATTCCTGTTCGCGAGGGTGGCCGTTCCAGGTTGATGTCCAACATAAACTTCACCTTTCAACGGATATGAAATGTTTGAGTCGACCAGATTTTGACAAAAATACTTCCGACTCTGATCGCTGATCGACCTTCGAACGACGTCTTGGCGGTTCTTGATCACCACCACTGTTGCTTTCGCTTTCCACCGAACTGACATCAGTTTCTTCTTGCCAATCATCTTCATCCGTTGCACCGGTTTCAGAGTTCTCCGAGCCGGTTTTCAGTCCGTCCGGCAGTTCCGAATCTTCTACATCAGTGTCATCGTCGCCAGAATTATCGTCGAGAAGTGAACGATCGTCATCTGAGTTTTTGTCGTAATAATCATTAAAGCTTCTCTTTGAACCCGTTGCTCGAATTCTCAACTTGTTCAAATGCAACAAGGATTACGTTGGGAATTGTTATGTTGAGTGAAAATGTGTAAGACTAATTTGGATTCAAATTGAAAATTATTCGGCGATTTCAACTGCCCTTATATAGCTCAACTATACATTCAGAATGATAGGAAATATTCCAGAACATTCTAATATAATGACACAAAGGTTAAGTTCAATTCAATTTCAGAAACTTATAACATAAGATAGAACCTTCTAGAATATTCTCTAGAGCTGGGCGAATGTATGCTGAATTGAAACGATATCTTAACAATAAAAAAGTGTAATTAATTCTACTCTCTAGGGTCCGAGGGCACCCCAAATGATGAAAACACGTTGGTGCGTACTTCTAGGTCTTTTATCATATTGACGATGTCAGAATCGAAGACACTAATATAATCGATATATCCGTCTAACTTTCGTTAGCGCATATCCAGAAGATGAGGAGTTGATCTATCACTGTTGAGGAAAGAGAAGCATAATATTCGATCTGAGGTCCGCTCGGACCCCAGGTGGTGAAATGAGGGTTAAGAAAAGTTTGCGGCATCTTCGTGTAAGTTCGATGTAATCTTCGTTCTGCCGCAAATGAACCGATATTTCTGGTTTTATTTTCGATGCAAAGTGCTAAAAACTGTTAAAATTCCTTTTTTATGCTTGGAAACACATGTTACCTTTTAGTTCGATCGTAGTTTCGATTTGAAAGTTGCATTTATCTTTCTCAAAACATTTTGAAATTAGTTGTGAATTAAACTTTGTTGTCCAAGGGTTATCACATGTCTTTACGCATTATGCAGAGGCGGCGGAATCATAGGGACCTTGGCCAACTTTGTTGGTTCATATTTGTTGATCGTCTTGGAATTCTGAGTTGCCTAGAACAAGTAGAGATGCCTCATCTCTCGATTATAAAATAGCTAGATCAATTCCCGATTGACCTCATCCAATCGAGAATGTCAAGTTAGTCTGAGCCAGTTTAGAATCAGACTGCGACATATTCGAATTGTTCAATACAACATGGATGTTTCAATAATAATTGTAAAAATGAATATCGATGTCTTTTCTTTTGATTAGTTTAAAGGATTTCCTTAAATCTTTAGAGTTTTAATGGTTTCAAACATTTTTTTGAAGTACAAAGTAGGTCCTTTTTTACAGATGTTCTTGAGACATTTTAGAATTGTATAATTCTATTAGGCACTTTTAAAATGAAAAACGGCACATCTTTGAATTGTTTTATTTTTATTCTTATTGGTTTATTTCATAAACCAATATTAATAAATATTAGCCAGAAAAAGAACCAAAAATCAAAATCAAAATTTCTCATTTTCCATTTACACACTGTAATTTTCCGAAGGATTTCACCTCAAAAGTTCGAAAAAAGAGCAAAAATTGGTGTATAACTTCCAACACCGTAAAAGAATGAAGGCCTAAAATCCAAAATCGTTTTCTGTTACGTTGTTTCCATATGTCTTAACTTCAATTTAAAAAAAGAACTGATCCATTCTGACTTTTTGTTACGGAGAAATTTGCCTGACGGTGAGTTCCGCCACGCGAAAAACACGTTTCGAGAAAAACGCAAAATACTTTTTTTCTTCTGAAAATTACTTTTCCTTTGATCTGTTTTGATGTTTAAGAGTTTGGTAAAGCTCTGTACAGGTTTTCGACCATGCAGATTCTGATGTACATATGCTCGCGCATATGTTACATATACGTATGTGTATGCGAACGCTTTCTTCACAATACCATTCTTTTACCTATAAAGTATATGATGTATACATTTCCACCAAAACTCAATTGCGTTGCTATTATGCATGCTTACTACGGTTTTATGTTGTTTCTCATGCCTACAGCTTAATTATACATGTCGTTAAAAAAGCATCACGTTTTTTTGGCACTGTTTTGTTTATTTCGACTATAAGAACAAACGAAAGCCTACTTTTGTTAGAAATAAGAGTATGGGCATCCGAAAAAAATGCATGCACAGGTACCCGTATATGCGACACATGTGCATGCATATGCCCGTTGGATTCAGCAACGTCGAAAACCTATAAGAGGATAAAAACGGACCAAAACATGAAAAAAAAATTTGAAATTTTGAGTTTTTATTTTTGTGGGGCTTCCAGAAAACTTCGTGAACATCCACTAAAATCCATTTTTTAGCGAGTAAAAATTAGGGCAAAAAAAAATAAATTACTAGGCAGTTCTTGGTTATCTCTTTTATTCTGTTTCTGCATGCTTAGTTTAGATTCATAGAAACTACTTTATAGAGTGCCTTGGGGTAATTATGGTCAGCTCCTCAAAATTTCGTCGTATTTCTCCTGTAGTTCGCTCAATTTTTATCTGAGAAAAGCGATATTTTACAGGTAAATAGAGGTGACTCCTGGCTAT